GCGGGTCCCGAGCCCCCCTCCGTCACAAACGCCTCGTGTTCTATTTTCCAACCGCCGACTGTATTAAAGACCACCGACACACCGTTCCACACGGGCTCAGTACCTCCGTCATTCACGAGCGGTTGTTGCTCCTTAGTTCTCGTCATATACGCTTCGCTCACAGTCGTTAACTTTTTCCAGCAAGGCGGAACCCATTCCACCCACAACAGGATACACCTCATACCTTTCGGTCGACTCCTCCGCGGAGCTCAAAGTGTTTCCATTTGTGTCGATCCATAGACAAGAGGAAGGAGCGACACTCCCTTCCCCTCCCTCTTACCCCCACCACTGCTGGTTGGGCGATTTTCCCTGGATGGGTACCGACGCCGTCGCTGCAGGAACACCGAGTCTCTTCAGTGACGTCTTCAGAGAACACTCAGCAAGCATGTGACCAGGTTCATCACACAAGAAGCACTTGCGACCGCTCTTCTGCTGGTTGTTTCGGAATCTGCTGGGAAGAACACGCTCACACTCAGCACCGATGTGACCCACTTCCCTGCAGTGAGGGCAGATGACCTTGCCGCGACGACAGTGAACCCAGCTACACCCTAGAGTGTGACAGCGACCACACACGATATGACCATCGCGAGTGTGCATGTCCGGTCCTAGGCGAACACCCCTAAGTGGCATAACAGGAAGCGCTCCATTAAATTGATACTGCTGGGAAGAGCCATGCTCAGGAGGAGTGTACGCGGCAGCCGCATTCATCAGAGGAGTAGCAAAGGAGGCAGCCATAGGACGATCCATCAACTCCTGTTGCTGTTGATGTTGCTGCTGCTGTTGTTATGCGAGTAGATTCTGGGTCTGTTGCATCATGTTCATCCCGCGTTCGAGGACAGCGTTCTCGTGGAAAGTTCTAGGGAAAGGAACACTATCGAGATCGGAGTCGTCTTCGACTGGGCGGTGCATATTCTTGAGGAGTAACATGGCCACAGCCGCAGGGATTGAGTCAATCATGGTCGTGGCGAGGGTGTTTCTCCAATCCCGTTCCGGAGTCCCAACAAAAAATTCTGGTAACGCATTTGAGGATCGTAACACTGGGCATCATCGCAGAGGCTTAGAATCATTTCACCCCACACTTCGACGGACATCCCCCGGGGTCGTTTAGTGTTCTTGAGGTTCTCGATCAGCTGCAACGGGTCTTGACTGACGAACTGGTTGTGGAACCGAGTCCTCAGGGCCTAAAAAAAACTATTGATGCGCGAGTACATTCACCAGTCTTTACTGGTCTTGCCCTTTAAGCACTCACGGAAAGCACTGAGTAGGAAGGGCCCATCCAGTCCGATAATTGCACGTTCAAAGGCTGCTCAGAACGCTCCTTCCGAGTACAATAGTTGGAGCATACGGATAGCGTTCCGGATGTTAGTGGGCATCCCGTACAGGCCACTAGTCGTCGAAGGGGTGTTACCATACATCGGGGAAGCGTATTTAGGGCTACTTCCGTAGCTTTCATACGGGAGACTCTGTTGAGTTCCAACACAGGCAGTAGTCCCCCCGCTTCCTCCGCAAGCTTCGATTGCTCCAGTAGGGCCGGTCCCGTATGCGATCCCGCTTGCAGACGAAGCTCAAGGCCGTGGAGCCTGCGTCGGGACTCGAGCGGTAGGAGCGGATGCCTGGGTAGAAGCACTCAGCGACGCTTGAGCAGTCGCGGCTTGAGCGTTCCCCACTCCATCTTGTAGGCCATCAGTAGGCTGTAGATTCGAAGGAGGAGCGCTAGCGGTTCCCGGGGGAACACTCGCAGGGGAAGCACTTCCACTCTTCTCAGAACCGTAGGTAGAGAGAAGATGGGGTTGAGATCCTGCCCATACGACGTAGTCGGGGTCTGGATAGTGAAACCCTGGAAAGAAGGGATCGCAGTCCCCCCCGAGCCCTAACGGGGGAGTCCCTATGTTACCGTTCCCGTCGGCTTTTCCATAGCCGCTGCTATCTCCGGGGGAGCCACAGATCTCAACCAGTAAAGGGAGTTGAGCCAATCTTGCACCGTACCTCGACCGCCTCCGCCACCCAGGGCTAACATTGGGCCCAACTCTTGCGTAGTAATGGTCGAAGAAACCCCGGATCTTGAAGCGTCCGCGGGCGGCTCAGTCCCAGTTTCGAGCTTTTCCCTCCAAGCCTGTTGGCGGCTTGGTCCACGATATTAAGCACGTTTTGAAAGCCTTGCGTAGTCGACAGACTGGGTCTCGTCCTCGAAGGTAGACTCCCTGGCTGACCTTCTCCACCTCTGGAGGTGTTGCCCACGTCTTCTCCAGTGCTCGTAGACGCCATCTCTTCCGTGTTGTAGTTTATTTTTTACGTCCTCAGCGAGCCTTCGCTTGAATCGAGACCTTCTCCAGCGAGCAGACTACCCTGCTTCTCCACCAAATGTCGTATAGCTCCACCTCCAAGGGTCAGGTAGTCGTGGGCTGTTCGGGGAGTACAGTCTCGTTCTGTGGCCGGAACGGTAGACAAGAAAGCTTAATACGAATATAAGTTTCTTTATTGACTTGGCTTCCACTTGTGTAGAAGGTGGGAAATGCAAGACTGAGAGCTAACCGGAAGAAAGGTCTAACACCTTCCCTTCCTCGCTTACATAACACCGCTTCTCTTACACTTGAAGGACGAGTTCGCTTCATCTGACATCCGTCCTTGTAGGACAGCGGGGAGCTCTGGGAAGGGACCCGATTGGACGAGGCGCCTTAGTCCCACGTCGAGCGGGTCTTAGCGTTCCGGGATTACTCTATAGGGCAACTCTTAACGGGCTCGACAGGAGGTACGCGAGCCGCCGAGTCTAACGGGTACCAACCTGAAGGGACGGCGCGACGAGGAGTGGTCTCAGGACCTCGGGTCATCCTTGTCAGTCGAGTGGCGCCTGGAATGACCCCCTCGTTCCCGGGTACGGACAACTCGTGAGGGCTACAAGGACTATGTGACGCCTCGAGCTCTTCATAATCCCCTCCTTCATCACCGACCACATAATTACCGCAGAAAATGCCATCGCTGCGAATTTCGACGGCATCGAAGTCCACGGCGTCGATGGATATCTCCTTGAATATTTCTTATGTGACCGTGTCAATTCGCGCAAGCATCGAGAATCGTGCGAGGCTTATCTTCGAAGTGCTCGAGGCTGTGCCATTGAGTCTGCCTTCTAGCAAGGTTGACATCCGCCTGTCTCTGTTTGGAGACACTTTCGGCTGCAACGACTCAAACCCGTGTGAGACCTGCATGTATGGCTACGTCGTGAACAAGCTCAACAACTACGATCTGGCCTATCTACACATCATCGAGCATCGCGGAATGCACGCAGCCAATGTCGATGCACCCGAGGGCGGGGTAGTTCGCCACTTCCGCAGCATCTACAATGGAGTGCTTATTACGGCTGCGGGATTTGACCGCGCCGAAGCCATGCAAGCCGTCGAGGACGGAGGGCTGACATCGTAGCCTTCGTACGCGACTTCATCTCGAACCCAGAACTCGTCGAGCGTCTGCGCACGGACGCGAAGCTGCCGCCGTACGACCGAAGACGTTTTGCCTTCAGCCAGATATGCCACTGGAAGCAGGCTACACGGGTTGTGTAATGGTACGTAGCCCTAAGTGTACCCTTAGTTACATGAAGTATGACACGACATACTCCGGGATATTTGGTACAAGGTACCAAGGTCGTCCGAAGCCAACCATTGGCTGGTGACATTGCATTTCTATTGGTGACTTATAATTGTATAAAACCCCATCTTTATCTACCTATAAATATACTCAGTTTACATTCTGTACCTTAAATAGGTCACTTCGCTCCCTTTTGATAAAGAGGGGACCTGTGAACTGCCGCTCACTGAGAGTTCGTAAACTCTCGGAAGCTAACTTCCTCTAGCGCAAGGTGCTGTGTGCAGGGGTTAATGGTAACTCCAAAATCGGTGAAGTTAATATTGTAAAAATATCACCTGTAGACCAGCTAATATAAAAAAGATTACCTAATATTTTCTTCTGAGACAATATGATATTATAAAATATCAACTTAATATTAGTTAATACGATATTATATTTTTCAAAGATTGCGTAATCGGGCTAAATTAACCAATCATATGTCGTTAACGCTCGACTAGCTGAAGTATTACTAATCAACCGTGAGGGAGGGACAATTGTGAGAGTGGCGGCAAGGTTGGCGTCGTGTGTTGGCACTGCTGAGCGCATTAATCTAGCGCCACAGGCAGCAGCGCACGATGTGGACGAGGAGATCGGTAGAGAACAAGAACAAATGTCTTGATTTCGCTCTATCAACGTTAAACAGCTGCAATTTTCCATCTCGATCGTCTTTGTCTGTGTCACAGTGAAATACAAGAGCAAATACTCGTCAGTCTTAAAGCCTACTGCTTTTCTAGAACCTGATCGAAAAAGTTATTTGGCTCCGCTCGGTCCACAGGGTAAGGTGGCAAGAAACGTACTTAAGTGGGAAAATATCATAAAATATCATGTAGTATCTAATATTTTTCAGCTCTCCGAGTTAATATTAAAATATTATGTTAGCTTCTGCAAAAATGAGCTACTATTACTATTTACTATCAAAAATAGTACTATTACTATCAAAAATATCATATGATATTTGGTTACCATTAGCCCCTGGCTGTGTGACCCCGTCCGTCGTCGACAGTCATTCCGAGACAAGAAAAAAGTTTAGGTAAACATTTAGGTGAATTACATAAAATTACAACACTCATGGGTTCATTTCAGAATTCCTTAAAATGACTGATTTAGACGTCGTTGTGGACGTGTCTTCGCTGGCGCAGCCTGCTTCCGCCAAGGATTCCGCGTCTTCACCACCGACATCTTCTTCCCCAACGTCTCTCGTCTCCGACGCAGCTCTCACCGCCCCCAACGCTTCAGTAGCCGCGTCACACCATGGCCATAGCCATGGCCACCACCGTAATTGTCAGCATTCTCACGGCCAAACTCCGCCCGAAGAGCAGGAACCATTGACCCCATTGGAGGAAATGTTTGCCTGTGCTAAACGCAATGATCTAGCGCAGTTCGTGCAGCTGGTGGCGCAATACGGCGACGCATTGGCGCGAGAACGACGAGACCCACAAGGCCACACGATCGCTCATTGGGCAGCGCAGAAAGCCAACGGAGAATTCCTCTACTATTTGCACTCAATCGGAGCACCCATCGACGCACCCAGTGAAGACGGTAAGGTTCAGCTACACCCGATCCACTGGGCCTGTGCTGCAGGCAACTTCAGCGCACTTCGCACCCTGGTCCTTAAGCTCGGGGTGGACGTCAACACTTGTGACGCCAAGAAACATCGCTCTCCTCTACTGGTAGCAGCTCAGAATGGACATCCGCTGTTAGTTCTCTTTTGTGTGCGGAACGGAGCGGACGTGACGCTCGTGGACGTCGATGGAGACACCGCCGTCCACTGGGCAGCGTATAAAGGCGCTACCGAGATCGTAGCAGTGTTCCAGTACTTGCAAGTCAGCTCCGACGCGCCAGATAAATTCGGACAAACGCCGTTGCATCTCGCAGCTATGAGAGGAGAGCTAGAGACCGTGCAGTTCCTAGTAGAGACGCTGGATGCAGATGTTAAGGCGCTGGACTCCAAGAAACGCACCCCACGAGATCTGGCGCAGCTGAAGCGTTTCCGTGAAGTGGTGCGGTATTTAAAGCAGCGAGAAATGCGTGTGGCAGCGTGGAACATTGCTGCCTTCACGTGGTGGTGCAACCCAGGCAGTCGAGCTCCGTACCACTTCACACTGGTCAACGCCGTGGCCTCCGCGTTGATTTACCTGCTCCTGGTATTCCCGCTAATGCCAGAGAGACGCAATGTGATGGTGCCGCATCTAGCGTGGAACGCTGCGACGTGGTACTTCTTCTACCGTACCGTAACGACCAAGCCTGGTAGCTGTCCAAGCGACAATAAAAAGTATGGCGTAGCGTACGAGAAGGTCACGGAGGCGCTCATCGATGGCGACGATGACGATGAAGAAGCAACTGGAGAAAGCGCCACCGCTCGAGCTCAACGTGAGTGTATGGAGCGTCCATTGTGTCATACCTGTCACATCCAGAGACCTCCAAGGTCCAAGCATTGTCGTATCTGCAAGACGTGTGTGCCCGTCTTCGATCACCAGTACGTATGGCGTTATTTAACGTCTGATTGAAACTAACGTTTTTTTTCGCGTTTTTGTTTGTTTTCAGCTGTCCGTTTGTCGACAACTGCGTAGGACGCGACAACTACGCAGCATTCCTGTTGTTCGTGACGTTCTTTACTGTGGATATCGTTGGGATGGAGTACGTGCTCTACCTGCTGTGGCGTTATCACCACGCTCTACGCCTGTACGCCGTTCTCGGCATGGTCTACCTCGTGTTCATCCTGCTTCCAGTAGCGCAACTCGCTGGCTTCCACATCTACCTCACTGCTCGTAATCGCACGACTAACGAGTTGCTCAATGCCGCTCGTTATCGCTTCCGTGGTGGTGAAATACGCTCGTACGACCGCGGTATCATTCGCAACGTAGGCGACCGTTGTTTGGGTCTAAACAACGAACCAGATGACGAAGATTCGGAAGAGAAAGCCAAGCTACTCGACGACCAACTCAACGCCGTTCCCGTATAGAATTTTGTTTTACAAAAAAGGAGTTTTATTGTGAAATATCGAGATGAAAACTTACCAAAGCGGACACTTGGTCTTGGGATTCATAGGCGACCCAGCAGGACACGAAAAGACTTTCGCAAAGTCCCGTGAGTTGCTAGCAACTCCGTTGATACGCCATCGTTCAGGCGAGTGTGGGTCGGTGGCCAGGCGCTGTGTCATACTGGCGTCACTGGCCTTGGCACAGAAAGCCTGGGCGAAGGAGACGAAGAAGAGTTTATCCGCTGCACTAGCAGGCAAGTTGCGCTCCGCTTGACTCATAGTCGCAGTGCGCTCTTCCCTGTCAGCTTCGCTCATCTTGCTCAGCTGTTGCGCTTGTTCGGCAATGAACTCGTGATATGCTGCAAAGGACAACTTGACTCCTCCATTGTCGGCGATATTCTCACTCAACGTGTAGTTCCCGTTGACGTGGCCCAAGACGTTGCTCGAGGCCGTACCAGCGACCTTGAAGCTGTTGTACTGCTTCACAAGACAATCTGTGCGCTCCGAGAACTCGCGAGCGGTGTCGTTACTCCACCAGTCAAGCAGGTTGCCGTCCCCGGCGTAATTCCGTCCCGAGGCATCGAACCCGTGCGTCAGTTCGTGGCCAATGATACTTCCGATAGCTCCAAAGTTACGTGCAGGGTGACGGCCACGAGCAAAGAACGGAGGCTGTAGAATGCCAGCAGGGAACACGATCTGGTTGGCTGTTGGCTGGTAGTACGCGTTCACCGCTGCACTGGTCATCGCCCACTTGTTGCGGTCGACTGCACCTCCGATCTTGGCCACAGTACGCTCAAACTCGTGCTGTAATATGACGCGCATGTTCTGAGCCAGCGGTGCGTCGCCGCGTAACTCGTACGGGAAATGCTCCTGACGAGTGGAATGGCCAATCAGGTTCGTCATATCCCCCAGTTTCTGCAGCGCCGCCTCTCGCGTAGCTCCATCCAGCCACTCGACGCGTCCTAGATTCTTCTGTAGTGATGACTGTACCTGCGTCACCAGTTGACTGGCCAGTTGTTCACTTGCTTCGTCGAAGCGTAAGAGAGCAAAGTATTTGCCTACTAGGTCGGGAAAGTTGTCTGTTACGCGCTGGAGACACACTTTCCACCTTGGAGCTCGTGTCTTCTGGCCACGCAACGTCCTGGCGAAGAACGAGAAGCTCGCTTGGACGAAAGGTTCGCTCAGGACTGCCGCATACGCACTGATGTACTGGTATGTCAGCACAGCTTTCAACGTGTCTAGCGTCACAGAGTCGCCCGTTACCAGTTGCTCGACACGCTCGAAGAACGCCGGGGTCTCCACGATCACATCTGTGGCTTTAAGACTCGACAGCAGTCCCGTACCGTTCACAAACTCGGCGAAGGTGAGTGGATACTTGTCAGCAGCGTCTGCCACACTCATGCGGTTGTAGGATGCGACGGGGTCCTGCAGTTTCTCTTTGGGCACGAACAGTGGCGCTAACGATTGTTCAAACCCAATGACTGAAGCAGCTCGAGCCGCTGCAGCACGCGACTCCCACCCCCCAAGGAGGAATAACTCCACTACGTACGCATGGAAGGCGTCGCTGATGGAGTCGAACTGCTTCTTGTCTAGATAATACGCTGGATCTGGCAACGACAGGCCAGTCTGGGACGCATACAGCGCGTATCTTGTGGCCTCTCTGGCATCTGCAGAGACCCCCAATCCAGTCAAAAAATCGGGTCCTGCTTTGGATAATTCGCCTGCCAATTGGAACAATTTTTTCTTGGTTTTTGTCGCTGCAATCTGCTGTAAAACCGGCGCCAATACCTTCAACGACGCCTCGTCTGCTGTCGTGCTGCTTGTATTGCTAAAATTCATACAAGAATCGTACAGTTCCCCCACTAGCGGCCATCCTTGTTGCATTACCGCTTTCAGTGCCTTTTGGTTGTCATCGTGCACCTTCGTGAACGATAGAAACACACTCGGCTTGTCGTCTGGGATCTCCACCGTCTTTTGCCAACCTCCGCAACTAAACTCATAGAAATCGTCACAAGGGTCCACCTCTCGATCCATATGAGCCACTACGTCACTAGGCAGCATGTCCACCCACTCTGCTGCTTGAGCTGTTTCCTGCATACCTCGTGCGGGTTGCAGTGTGTTGCCACGTACCACCAGCACCACTACGAGAAGGAACAAGGCCATAAGTCCTCCTACTGCCCAGGCAGCCACAGGCTTTTGCATCAGAAGAGGTGGACCTGCATACCCTGCAGGGTCATCGTCACGGCTCACGAGCGGCTGCTCGTCGTTCTGCTGCGCTTTGTCGTCGTCGATAGGAGGCGAGCCGCCGTCTTCGTCGTAGATTTTCTTCCATTTCGAGCCTGTGGAGCGCTCCATCGACGTGCAACTTGGTGCACGGGGTGCGCACGTGTGTTGGTTGATTGGAAATGGCGGTTGCCCAGCTGGAAGAGATACGTGGCTTGCGCAGGAGACGAGTATTCGGTACCGCAATTAAGCCGACAGGTGTAGATTTGCCGTGTTTGCAACGACGCAAACAGGAAGTAAGTACCGAGTAGCACTAGTCCTAAAATCCATTTTGTGTCAGACTACATTAGACACATAATTTGGACTAAATTTGCAGGCCAGTCAAAAAGGAACCAACCAGCGATGGGCGGCAAGAGGAAGCGTAATGACAGCTCTGCACCAACGCAACCGGGCAACGGCAAGGCGAACAGTAAGGCCCACCATGGCCAGAAGAAGCACAAGGTGTCAAACGCGAAGAAAGTGAGTGGATTTGCTGCTCAGAAGACACAGGAGAAGGCGAAACCCGCCGCAGTGGCCAACTCGAATTGGCTGGCGCTTAAGAGCAAAATCCAGCAGAAGGACCAACGCCATAAGGGTGGCAAGACGCTCGAGAAGAAACATGATTTGGATGTGAAAGCTCAAAAGCAGCGCGTTAAGCAGGAGAAGCAGGTTAAGCGCATGAAGGCTCGCACAGCCGAATGGGTGGACAACTCGCTTATCGTCGGTATGGATTGCGAAATGGTAGGCGTCGGCCTTTCAGGCAAGACGAGCGTGTTGGCACGTTGCAGTATCGTAGACTACGATGGCAACGTGCTGTATGACAAGCATGTTCGTCCTGTGGAAAAGGTCACGGACTTCCGAACGCATGTCAGCGGCATCAAGTCCAGCTCGCTACGACGCGCGATCCCCTTTGCCCAGTGCCTGAAGGAAGTGGGCAAATTGCTACAAGACAAGATCGTTGTGGGTCATGCATTGAAGAATGACTTCCAAGCGCTTATGTTCTCGCCTCCCAAGCACCTGATCCGCGATACCGCCTACTACCGTCCGTACATGCGTCGCAAAATGAACGGCACGGTATGTTTTGACATTTTTGGTGTCTTTAAAATTATCGTGGCAATGAAGATTAACGCAATTTTTCTATTGTAGAAACTGTATCCAAAGTCGTTGAAGAACTTGACGGCGGAAGTGCTGGGTAAGCAGATCCAGACCGGACAGCACGACTCTGTTGAAGATGCACGCGCCACACTGGAGCTGTACAAACGCGAGCAGTATGCGTGGGAGAAGTATCTGCGCACGAACAAGAGCAGCAGCTCGCTGGCGGGCGTAGCGCCGGCTCTTCCAGTGAAGGAGACGGAGGATGACTCCCCGAAACCGCTCTCTGCTGCTGCTAAGGCTCATCTAGACAGTGACGACGAGGAAATCAGCACTGGACGAGGTGCCATGGCTGTGCCGGATTCGAAGGAGCTTGCTCTCATGGAATACGGCGAGTAAAGGCATCGTCCCGTAGATAGAGATGAGCTTGTCCGTAAATACAGCTTTTACGTGGTGTCAACTACATCACATTTCCTTTTACGTAAAAATAAAATCTGGTAAAAACGTTCGTGAACTTTGTTGCCAACCAGCCATCAGTTGCCAAAAGCGAATTTGTGGGTTTGTGCAAATGCATCTCAAGGTGCCTCTCTTTACCAGCTACCAGCCTTGTCTTCTTTAGCTCTGTCCTCTGGATGGAGCGGGGAGGCGTCGACCGTGGTTACGCAGTTAAATATGAGGCCTACAAGGACTTCTGGTGCTTCTTCGTCCGAGCTTCTGAGGTTTCCTGCTGCCTTCGGGTGGCGGGAGCGTCGGGACTTGGTGCTCGAGGGAGAAAGGCAGAGCGGCTTCGGCTACTCTTGCTGCGTTCTCAGCAGCCTGTCTTCGTAGCCTATTGCGGGACCGGAGATGGCGCTGTGCATTCTCGTGTATCGAATGGGGGAGGAGCGCCAGAGACATCCTCGTCAAAATGTTTGTGAAACTTAGCACTTTTTTACTTTCCACTGACTGGTTACATCCGTCCGGCCGGTGATATACGCAGTGCAAATAGCGTATTGTGCTGCGTGAGGAATACTCTCTTCTTGTCGGGTGTTGGTACCTGGTGAGGACGCTGTAGCTTCGGTTGCAGCGAGTGGGGCTTCTTGTGGCAGTCACATTCTTTACGAATTATACCATTTACTGTAACGCTACATGTATTAATAACAGCATATCATTAATGAAACCGCCAGCTCCAATACAGTACCAGATTTCTTTAAATGTGTTGATTGCATTGTCACCGCCCATTCTGAAGCGATATCAACTCTAACTTAGTCGCAGAACGGTTCTTTGCTTTTTTAACACAAGTACCAGGACAAAACAAAACTGTACAACATGCAGGGAACCCGAAAATATATTTTTTATCAATTTCAAAGGACATCGAGAAATACATAACGCGCGGCAACCTAAGAACTCAGCAAATAAATAATTGGAGCGGGGACATTGCAAACGTAAATTATTAGTGAAATAAACTACCAAGCCTGGGTGAAGCCGCCTAAATGCAAGCATCCACGGTGGTGAAAGAAGAGAGTAGGTTTTGTTGGGGTGCTCCTGAAGTTGCAGAATGAGCTAGAATATGTGATTCGGAGAAGTCGAGGGGCTCCAAACCAATAGGTAGCTGCTGTCCGAGAAAATAAAAGTTGGGTCGTCGTACACCAACTTCGTAAATACATATTTTGCTGAAGCATTTTTCGTAAATAAATTATTGATAGAAACAATAAACAGTAATTGGCAATAAATATATTTATCGGGTTCCCTGACAACATGTCATGTTGTACGATACTACTTCGAAGTACTTCATGTACGTCGTTGTACGCTAGAGGAAACAAATGGTTTATTAAATGCACTAAATGTTAATGCTACGACACCAACCTTTTACTTCCTCTGGTCGGAAATGATCACGCGAAGTCGACAATTTGACCAATTGCGTTAGTTCTATTTACCCAATTCAGCGTCTGATTGAACTAAACGAAAGCCCTGCATCTCCTCTTCCTACAGCCACCAGTTTTGCGCCGAACGAACTTCTGTAGCCTCCGCAATCTCACTTTTCGCTCTCAAGGTTTCAAGCCTCGCCGGGAGTGCGACCCGCCACGCCTGCACTACGCTGTTTCTTCCTCTACAAATATGCCGAAGCCCAACCTTACCGATAATGAGCGGAAAGCCGTCATTGACGAGCTTCTAAAAATCAGAAACAACGGAGAATTACCCCGTGGAGCATTTGCTAAGGTTGGTGTTCTTATGGGCCGACATCCGGACACCGTGAGGTTAATTTGGAAGAGGTACAGCTCTGTAGTGACGGCTGGTGTCGTGGGGGGTGATTGGCGTAGCCGGATTAAGAAGAACAGCGGCAGAAAGCGGAAGAATCGAGACGAAGTACGAGACAAACTGAAGAGTGTTCCTATCGAGGATAGAGCGGTTGAAAGACGTGTGGCGGCGGTCTCTGATCTCTCCAGGCATCTGGTAAGACAGGCAGTGAATGAAGGGATGGTAACGCGACGAACCACGTTTATCAAGCCGTCGCTAACGAATGAAAACAAGATACGGCGGGTAGAGCACGCGTTGTCGTTTATCGACGAATCTACTCTGCAGTTTGAGCGCAATGCACAATCTAGTCCATGTAGACGAGAAGTGGTTTATG